TGCTTACTTATATCAGTAAGTATTTAAGCGTATGAAATTATTCGCATTAAATTTTATAGTGTATTCTATGTATCCTAACTTTTTTGTAATGTAAGCAGAAATCATTGGCAACTGTTGGTTGTTTGCCCAAAGGAGAATGTTGTGGCTTGGTTCTGCTCATTGGGCAAGAGACCTGATGCAGATATTAAATACATTGTAAATAGGTACACATTCTTATAATAATTTAAACAATTATTACTTGTTTTGTTACTTAATTGTTTCATTATATTTTGTATTGCACAGTGCATTTAAGGTTTGCAATACAATTGATGGAGTACACACAAGCAAAAGCACGACTCCAAATTGGATTTTTGTTAATGTAAGTCATTTTATATTTATGTATTATATCATTCATTTTATATGTCAAATTAATATATTATTTTTTGTAGTGTAATAGGCAACTTGGATCTTATGAGTGCGGATATCATGTTATGCACTGGATGTGGCTGATTGTTGTTAGCAAGACTGAGGATACATGGAATCAGGTTTGCTTAAATTTAGTATTCAATTAAATTAAATATTGTGTCATTGGATACTCTATTAAATTATCTTTTTTCTTGTAACATGTATTTTCAGACAGAGAAGCATTGCCCATAGAGACCATTGAAGATATTAGAAACACCTGGGCCTATAAGTTTCTTAAAGTTAGAAGTAGGCAAGTTTAGTTATTAATTTAGTAGTTAGTTTACTAGTTAGTTTACTAGTTAGATTAGTAGTTAGTGTATTTGTTAGATAAGTAGTTGGATACATATTTGTAATTTTGGATACAATTATATTTTTGGATGCACATTCAATTAGTTTATATCTTGTATAATGTCTGTCTGGGTTGTATTCAAATTTGAAGGTATTGTATACAAACATTGGGATACCCTGTATAAACAAAAGTGGCCATTTAAAAAAAATAGACTTTCTACGTCGGTTATGTCAATAATCGACGTAGAAAATAATAATATCAATGTCGGTTTTTACCATAACCGACGTAGTTAAAACCCAAATGCAGTGATGATTATATTCAACGTTTCTACGTCAGTTCTATATACCTGACGTTGAAAGTCTACACTTTCAACGTCGGTTATGTATACCCGACGTTGAAAGTTTGGACTTTCAACGTCGTGTATGAATAACTGACGTTGAAAGTGTAGACTTTCAACGTCGTAGTATACAATGTCAGTTCTAGAACCGCTGTTGAAGGCCTTATATAACTGACGTTGAAAGCCTTATCTGTAGCAGTGTATGCATCATTTTTTAAGAGATCATATATTTAAAGGAAATGGTCAAATTGAGTATATAGACACAAAACATCAGTTAGCAGATATATTTACCAAACCTCTTCCAAAGGATAGATTCTATGAACTTAGGAGAGACTTAGGAATATTAGAAATAGTCTAAAATCTGCATAACTGACCAATCTTTGCATTTTGTACTAGAATAATCGATTATATAGGGCAATAATCGATTATCCTCTGTCTAATACATGATAAATTGTTAATCTCTATGGAATAATCAATTATCTTGGGTAATAATTGATTATTGAAGCTTAAATGAGTGGTTCATGAAAAATCTTTCTGTAATAATCGATTATTTGGGGTAATAATCGATTATCTGTACCAAAACTGACCCAAATCAGTAATTTCCCTCTGGAATAATCGATTATCCAGCTAGATAATCGATTATCCCTGCATTTGAAGAAATAATCGATTATTAGGGGGTGATAATCGATTATCCTGCAATGCTGGAGGTAAACTAGTCATTTGTAACGACTCTTTTTTCTTTAATTCTCCTCAAACTAGCCATTTATGGTCGTTGGGATGATTTTCTATATATAGGAGGGCTCAAATTCACATCCAAACACTTACAAACCTTGAATCAAAGCATTCTTCACACATTCAAAGCTCTCTTGTCTCTTCAAAGCCTTCCTCTCTTCAAAACTTCTTATTCTTCTCTCTTTTCATTCTAAATGGATTCATCTTCACGTAGAAAGATTCCAACATGGAGAAGATCCGCTCCTGCTTCTCATCCCCACCCCAATTCCATTAAAGGGTGGATATCTGATGAAGAGGAAAGACAGGAATTTCTGAATTTCTAGAATGAAAGGGGTATTATTACTCCTAAATTTATTATTAGAGATCAATTCATAAATAGGGGATTCAACTTTCCCAATCTACTTGAGCAACAAGGTGTTCTTCCTCTCATCGAAATGCAAGGTACATACTATCTGGATTTAGTTTGGGTTTTCTACTCTCGTTTCAAATATAGGGATCACATTGCTACTTCTAGAGTCAAGGGTGTAACCATCATCCTTGATGATGATATTTGGGAAAATGTTGCTCATTTTCCTTTAAGGGAGGATGATGTAAATGTTCTCGCTGATTTAGAAGATTTTAATCGCATTCTGGCATACCATTCTTTTCTTCGTAACCCTGCCATGGAAATTAGCCGCCAACTTTTGGTCGGGCCTTTGAAGAAAGAAGAACGCCTGTTGTTGCATCTTCTTGTATGGATTTTGTGTCCTCAGGCAACCAACCATGCACAATGTTCTTCTGTTGACCTTCGCATTATCCATGCCATCATGAATAATGAGCCTATTGATTGGCCAAGCCTAGTCACATTAACAATGCTCAAGGCAAAGTGTCACCCAACCTTCAAGATTCCTTACATTCTCCTCATATCCAGGATTCTTGAATACAAAGGTGTCAATGTTGAAGGGGAACAATGGGCCTGGACACTTAATTCAAACAGAATGTTGGACAACACGCTCACTTAGCTGCAAATGGTGAACGTAAACGGAGTTTATGTTCATAAAGATGATGCTCCTCACATGGCTAACGTGGCTCAAGATTTTGATGATGAGGACATGCTTGCTGCTGATATGCCTGCTGAATGTTCATACTGCTGGAACGTTATCTGTTGCTCACCCTACATCCCACCCTTCCATGGAAGATATGCTGTTCGACATGAATCAGAGAATGTAGGAATTCTTCTCTATATCTCAAGAACGACATCAAGACATTATTAGACACATTTCGGATTTAGATGATCGGGTGTGTAATTTAGAAGACAGATTTGACGCGCAGTTTAATAGTGATGAGAGTGAAGATTTCTAATCTCTTCAAATATTTCTTGTTTGTACTACATTTTCTTTAATGAATAAAATTTATTTTTGCATTGATTGAGGGGGAGTTGTTTTTTATCTTATGCACTTATTGAGGGGGAGCTTTCATTTTTTATTATAATCAAAATAGGGGGAGAAATTATTTAAAGCCTCTTATGTTTAATAATTTTAATGATTTCGGGTATGTTTAATAGTTTTCTTAGCTGTGACAGATAAAACAGGTTATTACAAAAGGCTTTAAAGCAAATTTTGATCATCATAAAAAAGGGGGACATTGTTAAACATACAAGGATATGAAGCTTGAAGATTTTGATGATGATTCAAGAACAAAGGACTTAGAGATTTGAAGACTTGCAATCATGTGTATTTACTTGTAATAACTCTGTTTTATGTTTTTGAGTCTGTAAAATTAGAGTCAAAGATAGCCAACACATAATCTTTCATCTGAAAACTCATTTTTATCAAATCCACTCTGTGATAATCGATTATCACTCAGGATAATCGATTATCTTGCACTGAAAAATCATCTTTGTGAAAAGCTTGCTGTGATAATCGATTATCACTCAGAATAATCGATTATCCCAGCCAGATAATCGATTATTCACACAGATAATCGATTATCCTGGTCCTTTTTTGCTCCTCTGCGAAAATGGCTCTGTAATAATCGATTATCTACGTCTGTTATGAGTTTTGAAATTCAAATCGGGACCAATTTAAGAAAACCCTATTCCCAATTCTTATGTTTTCAAAAATCATCATTTCCCAGATCCTATTCTCTCTACTTAAGGTTCTCTAAGGCTCTCTGCAAATAAACAAACATTTTTCATACAAAAGTTAAGATTTGTGACTGCTAGAGAACTTTTTGTAGGGAAGAAAAAGGGGCTTTTGAAAACCTAGTGTGGGCTAGAAGCGATAAGAATCACTGAGTGGGTTTCTTGGTGGATTGTGTGTTGTGTGGTCTCTAAGAAAATTTGTTATTCATCCTTTGTGGATTCAAAGGAGGTGTTCATCTCTTGTGTGACTCAAGAGAGGTGTTTTCTATTCCTTATCTTTTCAATTTGTAATTTGTTGTAAAATGTGATTATAGTGACAAGGTTAATCCTCTTTTTGAGTGATTAGGAACTGGACGTAAGGTCTTTTGATTCGAACCAGTATAAATCAACTCTGTAATCCTCTTTCCCTTATCTCTTTACTTTACAAAGCATTTTAATCGGTGAAATTTGGGAAAAATTTCAAAACCCTAATTTTTGTTTAAGAAACCAATTCACCCTCCCCTCTTGGTTTTTGTCCCTAAACGCGAATATTCCGCTGTGCGATTCTAACATAGTTCATTTCTACTGTGAAACCTTGCCCTATGTCAAGAGTATAGAGAACTTAAAAATCTTGGATTTGACTTGAGCGTAGGTAATACCATATTTAACTTGTGGCTAACAAATATACTGAACATCTCATCAATTTTAGGATCTCTACTGTCTTTATCTTAATGTTATTTCTTCTTTTTATGCATGTACTTCTTCTCAAAATCTGTTTTTGATGTATTTGGGGTAAGAATCTTTGTGACTTGTCAGACACCATATGGGTTTGCTGGCTAAATAATGCCTTTGAATATTTGTCCTATAAGTGCACTTTAGATATTACTATTATAATGAGCTTGATCTATTATAGTACACTTTCATTGAATCTTATTAGAGGGATGCAAAGTTACATGTTTCTTTCCCTGGCAGATTGACTTTTTTTCCATGATTAGAACTAATCTATCGATAAAATATGTCTTGATCAAAAAATAAACAGAACAATATGAAGCACAGTGATTAACAGACATAATAATTAGTCTTAATTTTTAAATTAGGAGAAGAAGTTAGTCTGGCTTGGAGTTTTTTTTGGAGCTGTTTTGGAGGATGCGGCTTTGGAGGTGCCTGAACTAGGTTTGGCAGAAGTCTCTTTCTTCACCTGCCCTGTAAAAGAAGAACATTTCTCAACAGGTTTGTCAGCTTTGAGGGATGCTATTTTACAATACTCTTCTAAGCAAACACTTCACCTAGCCTCAAGTTTTAACACTACAGAATACATCAATTTATAGTTGAGCTTAAGCATAATAATAGGCCAATTACACCAAATTGGCAGTAAATTGAGGGAATGGAATAAACTCAACTGTGGGCTAATGGAGGGATAATGCTGCAACATCTTATACTTTACCTTAGTTAGGCAGCAAATTGGATTCATATTCTACAATTTGGTTTCACATATTGAGGCCTGCATGATTCATATGTTGTTTACCTGAAGCCTTGTAGAAGACTTGTATTTTCTTTGTTTGCTAACAACTATAGACCTTTTCAATTTATAGGATATAGATAATGGGTTCTTATCCTTGTTTGTTAAAGGCAACAACAACAAAATTCGTGCTAAAAGAATTAACAAGAAATAAATTAATTATTTGTTATTTTTTATTGTCATGAGATTGGTTTGCTATAATTCTGCTGAGAAATATGTACTCTTACTATACCTACGCTATTGCTTGACCATGTACAGGTGCCTTCTTTCTGCACCTATTTGTCAAATCCAATATATTCATTAATAATGAATGTGTTTTTCAGCTTCAACATCGAGTTGGTTTTAACTTTTTATAAATTAATAAATTAATTAATATAATTGAAGGCACGCATCCAAAGGGGAGGGTCCTAGTACAGAAGTGGCACTGCCAATTGTAACACTTGCATGGCAAGTTTTTCAAAGGTAAAAATGTGACACTGATGAAAATGAGACAACGTCAAAAAGAGAAATGAAAGAAAATGTTCCCAATTTTTTTTCTACTTGCTTGCTTTTCTTTTCTATCCCCATTTCCTTTTTGTTTTAGGATGAAGTGTATGTAATTTACTTTTGCATTGTTGTTAGGATTAGTTTTATATATTCATGGTTTGTACCACTTTATATATATGATTACCTTGATTTGTCAATAAATTTTAGCTCATTGATACTATGCCAACCTTTTAATTATAATTGAAGTGGATGTAGACCATATATAGAAACTTGCACATAATGGGTAACTAGTTAAGACGTTAATAATTAAAGTACTTATTGTTGAACATACAAGGATATGAAGCTTGTAGATTTTGATGATGATTCAAGAATAAAGGACTTAAAGATTTGAAGACTTGTAATGTTATGTAATAACTCTATTTTTATGTTTTTGAGTCTGTAATATTAGAGTCCAAGATAGCCAGCACATAGACCATCTTTAAAAGCTCTAAAAACTCATTTTTATCAAAAGTACACTAGAATAATCAATTAACTGGCAGGATAATCAATTATTACAGAAAGAAAACCATTTTCAGTATTTGTTCTCTGGATTAATCGATTAAATGGCCTGTTAATCGATTAATTGGTGTTGTTTTTGCTCCTCTGCGAGAATAGCTCTGGAATAATCGATTAACACTTAAGATAATCGATTATTTGGGTTTGTTATGTGTTTTGAAATTCAAAATTGGACAAAGTTTCGAAAACCCTATTCTCAATTCATCCAATTTCGAAAATCCCCAATTCCCAAACCCTATTATCTCTACTTAAGATTCTCTAAGGCTCTCTGCAAATTGAACAACCTTTTTCATACAAAATTTAAGATATGTGACTACTAGAGAACTATTTGTAGGGAAGAAAAAGGGGCTTTTGAAACCTAGTGTGGGCTAGAGGCGATAAGAATCACTGAGTGGGTTTCTTGGTGGATTGTGTGTTGTGTCGTCTCTAGGTAAAGTTGTTCTTCATTCTTTGTGGATTCAAAGGAGGTTTTCATCTGTTGTATGACTCAAGAGAGATGTTTTCTTTACCTTATCTTTTCATTTGTAATCTGTTTGTAAAACTGTGATTATAGTGACAGCGTTAATCCTCTGTTTGAGTGATTAGCAACTAGACGCAGGGTCTTTTGATCCGAACCAGTATAAATCGACTGTGTAATCTTCTATCCCTTCTCTATTTACTTTACACAACATTTTAATCGGTGAAATTTGGGAAAAATTTTAAAACCCTAATTATTGTTTAAGAAACCAATTCACCCCCCTCTTGGTTTTTGTCCGTAAATGCAAATATTCCGTTGCGCGATTCTAACAAATGGTATCAGAGCTTGCTTTGATAGTCATTCAATTTTCGAAAATGGCCAGACAAAATCAAACGTTTGCCGAGGGTGCTTCTATCAATAGACCCCCACTTTTTGCGGGGAAAAATTATCCTTTTTGGAAAGTTAGAATGCAAATATTTTTGGAGTCTGTTTGGGATGCAATTTTAAACGGTCCCTTTATTCCTAAACTTACTGAAAACAGAGAAGAGGTACTATAACCATTTTCTAGATGGTCGGTTGAAGAAAATAGAAAAGCACAATATGATGTTAGGACTAGAAATATAATTTCATCTGCTTTAACCCTTGATGAGTTTTACAGGATATCGTTTGTAAGAGTGCTCAAGAAATGTGGGAAATGCTAAGAGTAACCCACAAAGGTACCGATGACGTTAAAAGAGCAAGAAAGAACTCATTGATTCAAGAGTATGAGATGTTCTGGATGCAACAAGGAGAAACAATTTTTGACGTTCAAAAGCGTTTCACACATATTGTGAACCATCTCACTGAGTTAGGTAAAATTTTTGATATTGATGAATTAAATGTAAAAATTCTTAAATATTTGGATAGGAAATGGCAACCTAAGGTGACGACCATCACGGAGTCACAAAATCTTGCTACAATGTCTATGGCGGTGCTCTTTGGAAAATTGAGAGAACATGAACTTGAACTCGGAAGGCTAAATGATGAAGAAGGCCAACATCAAAAGAGGAACATAGCCTTCAAAACTAAAATTTCCAAGAGTAAGAACAAGAAGGAGGATGAAGACTCGAAAAATGAAGATGATGAAAATTTGAGTCTTATGATAAAGAAATTTAGAAAGTTCATGAAAGCCAAAGGGAAGCAACCCTTCAAAGGTAAGGGGAAGGTAAGAGAAAGTATTTCCTTAAATATTAAATGTTACGGTTGTGGTGAAACAGGACATGTAAAAACCGAATGTTCAAACAAGAAAAATAAGATCACAAAGGCAAGAAATTCTTCAAGAAGAAAGCCTACATTGCTTGGGATGATAGTGACTCAAGTTTGGAGTCAAGTGATTCGGAAATTGAAGCAAACATTTGCTTGATAGCAAAAGACAACATCTCTTCCGACTTTGAGGTTAGTGATTCCTACTCTTCCTCAAGTGATGATGAAAATGATTATAATGCTTTACAAAATTCATATGAAGAATTGTTTACTGCTTTTAAGGACTTGAAAAATGAATATAAATCTGTGAAAAAGTGTTTGAATAAATCCGAAAAAGAGGTGGAGTCCTTAAAAACGAAAACTGTATGTTTAGAGGAAAAAGATAATAAAAATATAGCATGTGCATCATGTAAAGAGTATGAATATGATATTGATATACTTAGCCATTTGCTTGATAAAGCTAAGAAGGAAATAAGTGATAGTTATAAGGATAAGGCTATAGTTCAAAATAGAGAAAATTGTCATGTTCCATTGAAAAAGCCTAAAATTAAAAATAGAAGAGTATGGGTTGAAAAAGGAACTAAAACTTCAAAAGTTAGAAATGTATCATATTCAAAGATTACATCTAATGCATGTTTTTATTGTATGAAACATGGTCATACTTCAAATAGGTGTAAAATTAAACATTTTGGTGTTCCTAAAGGAAAATATGTTTGGGTTCCTATAGTGAAATAATTTGATTGTCTCTAACCCCAAGGACCCAAAAGTTATGGGGACCTAAGATTATCATGTTCTTGTTTTGTATGAAACTTCCAAATCCAAGAAGTCTATGTGGTATTTTGACAGTGGATGTTCAAAACATATGACCGGAGACAAAACGAAATTTGTGAGTTTCAAAGCTAAAGAACAAGGATAGGTAACCTATGGGGATAACAACAAAGGAGAAATACTTGGAATCGAAAACATTGGTAATACTTTGGAGATAAAGGATGTGCTTCTTGTTGATGGGCTAAAGCATAATCTCCTAAGTATAAGTCAACTTTGTGACAAATGATTCAAGGTAATCTTTGAAAGTAAGTTTTGCACCATACATTTAAAGGATTATGAAAATATAGCATTAAAAGGCATTAGGCATAATAATATCTATTTGATTGATTTGGATTGTGTACCTAACACTAGTATAACATGCTTAGTTGCTAAGGAAGAAAATCCATGGTTATGGCATAAGAGAGCGGCTCATATAAACATGCATCAATTAAACAAACTAATATCAAAGGGAAATTGGCTGACTTCTATTAGCATAAGAGAGCGGCTCATATAAACATGCTTAGTTGCAGAGTTAGAAGATTTTGATAGAATTATGGCTTAACGCTCATTTCTCCGCAACCCCTCCATGGAAATTGGCCGACTTCTATTGGCCAGACCATTAAAGAAGGAAGAACACATGCTGCTGCATCTCATTGTATGGATTCTGTGTCCTCGAGCAACAAATCATGCACAATGTTCATCTATTGATCTTCGCATTATTCATGCCATCATGAATAATGAGCCAATTGATTGGGGTAGTCTTGTCATTATGACCATGCTTAAAGCTAAGCGTCATCCAATCTTTAAAATCCCATATGCTCTTCTTATTTCTCGTATCTTATAATACAAGGGAGTAAATGTTGAAGGAGAGCAAAGGGTCAGGAAGATAAATTCAAATCGAATGCTTGACGCACGTTCACTCAGTTACAAATGGTGCGTGTAAATGGAATTTACGTTCACAAAGACGATGCTCCCAACATGGCTGAAGATGCTCAAGATTCTGATGAAGAGATGACTACTGCTGAGATTCCTACTGAAAACATTCATACTGTTGGGACATCATCTGCTCATCCTACATCCCGTCCATCTATGAAAGATATGCTCTTTGACATGAATCAAAGAATGCAAGAGTTCTTCACTATCTCTCAAGAACGGCATCAGGAAATCATTCGTCGTATTTCGGATGTAGATGATAGGGTTTGTAACTTAGAAGATAGATTTGATGCCCAATTTAACAGTGTTGAAAGTGAAGAGTTTTAATCTCTTCAATATATCTTCTTGTTTGTAATTAATTTGATTTATGGAATAAAAATGGTATTTTTGCTTTGTTTGAGGGGGAGATATTTTCTCACTACTAGAAAATATACTTTCAACGTCGCTGTTTAACGTCGGTTACATCTTAGCCGACGTTGAAAATTCTTTCAACGTCGGTTGGTCAACAACCGACGTCGAAAGTCGAATTTTGACACATTCTACGTCGTTTTAGCATGCACGACGTGGAAAAGTAGGCTTTCGACGTCGGTTATGCCCTCACCCGACGTTGAAAACCCTTCTGAACTCATTATGACCGATCAGAATACAAATATGACCGATCAGAATCAAATGTGATCGATCAGATATTAATTATGAGCGATCAGAATTTTTTCAATCGATTAAAAACACGTTTCAATCGATTAAAATCTCTTAAAGGGTCAGGATGATCGATCAGAATCCAGTTATGACCGATCAGAAATATTTTAATCGATTAAATCTCGTTTCAATCGATTAAAACAGATGAGGCTATCACGACATGAGGCAAAATTTAACGTCGGTTACATAATAACCGACGTTAAATGTTTAAATTTAACGTCGGTTATGTATAACCGACGTTGAATTCCCAAAATCAACGTCGGTTATATGATTTACCCGACGTCGA